AAGTCAACAAGCAGGTCTGTTATTCTTTCTTCCCACTCATTTTCAATCTAAGTACGTGTTTGGTATATATAAATGGATGCGTTTTCAAGTTTAATGGATTAATTTGATGACCTGCTTGTGTATTGCTCATGTTCACTCTACTTGCATCAGAGACCGGTAGTTTTGACTTTATTTGTACCAATGATGTGTGGGTGTGTGGATCGTCTAATTAGTTGGAAGTAGTTTTGAATGCGTTTGAAATTGTATATATATTCTCGTTGAAGTGGAAGACTATGAGGCTTTGCCTTTTTTTTTTTTTTTAAATTCTATTTATCTGAAAGGTGAATGTGGCTGTATCTGTAACTATACGAATATTTACATGGTGGAGGATTTATAAATTATTATTAAATGCAATGGAGGAAGCAGCAATGGTTGAATGTTCAATTGGAAGGCAAAATTTTACAAAAATCAGATTCCAAGACTTCTTTTCTAACTCTATCATAAGTCGCTATGTCAAATACTTCAATCTTCAGTTAAAATTCCCTCAAAAAGTGACTTTTTAGATATTTAGATACGCAGGCCGCAATCATATGCAAAAATCTGAAAATGCCGCTGCAGGTTTGGACCAATCTTTGTATGTGGTCTTATCTTTCTCACTCCCAAAGAAATGTTTGTGCCATAGTGGATCATTTTGTTGCTGTCTGAGAAGCAGGTATTCAGTGCCGGAAATGGGTGAGGACGAGGTACTGGGTTGCCGGAGAAAGTGAGAGGTTTTAATTTCCTAGCTCTAGCATTGAAGATTTCATTGGTTTTTTTCATCTGCAGTCTTGAGGCTCTTTCTCACTTCTCACGGAATCTGCATGACTCTAATAAAATAAAGAAATTTTAAATTTCAAGGTTAGACTAGTCACTTTAAGATGAGAGAGAGAATGGTTGTATAGGTTAGTGGTTAACTACAACACTGTTAACAAATTCACGTTTCAGACTAACACTGAAAAGTGGTTAAAAAGCCACACAAAAATTAAAAAAAAAAAAATCCTTGTAGGGATCTGGGGCTAGATGACGGTGTAGTTTGTAAATGGTTGATCGGCTTCTGTTTGGTTTGAGTTGCGGGACGCCTCCTGCCCAAACCCACTGACAGGGTGTACAGCATACTGAGTGTTTTTTGGCCGTGTGGACGGGTGACGTGTTAAAACAAGCCCACTGAAAAATTTCTTAATATAACGTCTGCCTTCTGGTTGATAATATCGCATCTGTAAGCTTCATTGGATGAATAGATCTTTTTCATTGTTTTTATGTCCTCTTTAGGGGTGTTCATAGTTGTCAAGAGTGCGAAGCGCAAAGGCCTTCTAGAGTTATAGCGCATAGTGCGCGCTTTATTGAAATAAAGTGCACATAAAGCATATACATTTATATATTTTTAATATAAACCAAAAATACTAATACAACTAAATATTCAAGCAAATTAAGACTTTAGACTTAAATAACAAGTATATATAATAAGCTAACATGTAAATATATATATATCAACCAACCAACCAAATACTTAAATAACAAGTCCAAACATTTAAATAAACAATCCTTGTCAAAAAAGTTTAAATATTTAAGCACTTAATCTTTGCAAAAAAAGTTGTAAAATCCAACAAGTCTAAAAATGGAGGAACAAATGCTGAAGTTGCAAACCTGAGTTCCAACGGGTGATAAAAATTTAAATCCACCAACAAAAAACAAAAAAAGAGAAGTAACAAATGGTCAAGTTGTCCATCTCGAGTGCCGACTGGTTGACAACAGTCAACAGCAAAAAAAAAAGAGAAAAAAACAAAACTGAAAGGCACGCTGAACTTGTGACTGGGCAAGATGAGACGAGAGGAGGACGAGGGTTGGAAGACGAGATGAGGATGAGGGTTGGAACTTGCGACTGGGAGAAGGAAAAGAGAGAGAGAGAGAGAGAGAGAGAGAAGCCCTAACTTGCGACTGGCTTGGAAGCCGACTAGCAGAGGCATTGCACACGAGACGGACGAGGATGATGATCAAGCTAGAGTAGACGACCACGCGAGGACATGGACGAGCGAACCTTGTGATGAGACGAGACCACCCGACAAGCCTCTGCGATCGATTGTTTGCGTGTGGGGGGAAGGAGACGAAAGCCGACTGTTTGTGTGCGGGGGGAAAGAGACGACTGCAACAGATGTTGGTGGGAGGGGTTCCAAGTGGGGCGCGAGGGTTTGATAAGTTTTTTTTTTAATACGGTTCTGGGTAGCGCGCCATCGCGCGCACTATTACTCTGGCTGGTGCACATAGCGCAGCGATGCACAAAGTTTGTGCGCGCTTCACGCGCTATTGACAACTATGGGGGTGTTCAAAACCAAACTGGACCAATTGGACCGAACCAACCAAAAGGAATTGGTTTAATTCGGTTATAAAGTCCCATGAACCGATCGGTTCGGTTCGGTTTCGTTTTCGGTTTTGGTTTTTTCTCAAAATAAAATCGAACCGAACCGATTCTATTTAATAATATATATTATATAGATATTATGTATATATATATTTATTTATATAAATATTTATATTGTATTTATTATAATATTTATATGTATATATTATATTATATGTATTTATATTTGTATTATATATATTTATATTTATATTGATTTTTTTTACAATTTAAAAAAAATTGAAAAACTGAACATGTCAACCAAACCAAACCGACTTGGTTCAGTTTTTTGAAAAAAAAAATCGATCATGTCCAATAAAAACTAAAACCGACATGTTCAGTTCGGTTTGGTTTAGGTCCAAAATGGAATCGAATTGAACTCGTGAACACCCCTAGTCCTCTTGGAACTCCTCCCTAATATGGAGTTCAGTATAATTAGATGATCTCACTGTTCTTTTCTTATTTTGAAGATTGGCTGGAGCTGCATGGTTTTTCACTTTTAATGTGCATTTAGGTGATGTATAATATGATAGAATAATTTTTGATGGAATGAGAATGGGAATGTGAATGGAATGGAATCAGAATTTCTATGAATATCTTTGGTACACATTGATGTAACGAGGATTCCTGTATTATCATTATGTTTGTTATGTTGGAATAGGAATAGGAAAGTAAACCAAAAAAATGTTCAAAGACAAAAATACCCTTTGTTGTAAAGGTTAAAAAATTTAAATTTTTTTTAATATATTCTAAAAAATTTAAAAATTAATTTTTTATTCTAACATTAAAATATTAAATTCATATATGTATGTTTGTATATATATATAATAAGTTATATATATTATATAAATATAATAAATTATATAATATATCATATTATACAATTTATCTTATTATAATATAATATTTTAATATATAAGATTTTAAATATTTATAACTTTTTATATTTATAGGATATTTTTATCATTTACGTTTAAGTAAAGGGTAGACAGTTTGATAATGGCCACTGATTTTGGCATCAAAGTGTCGGCCAATCTGTTGGTTATTCAATTTGGATCTAAAGTTGATTTCTTAACTAAGTCCCCTAGTTTTCATATTCCTTTACTAATCCCTCTAAACTTTTCAATTCCTCTCAATTAAGCCTTCAATTTTTCCAATTTAACCTCAAAATTTTTTTTATTCCTTCAATTTATCCCTTGGGCTATTAATTAACTTAAAATTTGTATAACAATTATTACTTAAATGAAGATTCCATCGCTCTAATGAAGAAATCCGGATTCTTTCATTTGATGGAATCCTCATTCCCTAGGGAAAGAGGATTTCTATTTCAAAGTGTTTACCAAACATATTTTTTTGAAATTTCCATTTTCATGCTCAGTCCCTCGACAGGATTCTATGGTACTATACATCACCTTAATTTTGAGATGGCCCATTGGACAGTGGAGGTTATTATTAATGTGTCTTCTGCTTTTTATATGGCAGAGTTTATTTTTATTTACATATTGGTCAAACTCTTTTTTTTCTAGCATATTGGCTTGCTAACACTTTCTTGAGACACTTCCTCCTATTGATGAAATGCATTTTAGATCCTGTTGTAGAGCTTTCTTTGTTGCTCAATGTGGCAGTGAGTAAGCTGGTGCTCTTTCCTAATTGATACCTGCACATTTTCTGTGTTGTCCTTCTCAGAGTTCTATTTAGACTAAAGGGCTTATATTCTTATGGTTGAGATGGGAACTAGTAACATCATCAAATTATTAAAGCACCATCTTACCAGCGGTTCAGGTCCAGTGTTTGTTACTGTTGGATAAATGTTCATTTTTCAGTTTCCATGTCTTGGTACAGCTTATTTTAAGGAACAAAAGAATATCTATATTTTGCTAACTATCTTTTTCTGCCCCATTTTGGATTTCTTCATTTTTTCATTTAGCACGTATTTGTCTAAGAAGACATTTTGTGGATGTTCTTGTGGCTGTACATGTTCACTTCCAAGCTGTTATATTTACACACTGCCTTTCGAGGATTTACTTAGAAGTGCCCTTGTCCCATCTGTGATAGATGTGAAATAATTACATCAAGCTTTGATGCATGTACAGGTTGGTAACAGGATTTGATGCATGTGCAGGTTCGTAACAGGATAATTAAGAAGAGGATCCATGTTCGTATAGAACACGTCCAGCCCTCCAGGTGCAATGAAGATTTTAAATTGAGAAAGAAGATGAACGACCAACTCAAGGCAGAGGCCAAGGCCAGAGGTGAGGTCATCAGCACAAAGAGGCAGCCAGAGGGACCTAAACCCGGTTTCATGGTGGAAGGTGCAACCATTGAAACAGTTACACCCATACCCTATGATGTCGTCAATGACTTGAAGGGAGGTTATTAGGATAAATTTTGGATCTCATTATTCAGTATGCCTTATAAACATCTGAAGATTGAACTTGTCCATCATTAACATTCTCTCTCTTGATCTGTTAGGTATTTGGAATTTCTGGACAACTGGTATTTCTGCAATTTTGCATGTGAAAGAAAAGCTTTTCTATGTATTGTCAAACTAATGTTTTCTGCACATTGTTGATTTTTTTATACCTATTTTTTAGATAAATAATTTTTTATTACTTAATACATTTGGATCAAGGATTTGATGAGAAAGATAAGGTGAATGAAACCATTTTACCCTTTTTTTTTGTTCATTTTATCTTAGATAGTCAATAAAAGGAAATGGTTTTTCCACGTTATTCATCTCTATAAAATTTGATGTCGACCAAAATCTCTCTTTTAGTGGCTTTGTGGATTTAGTCGTGTCTATTATGGAGCATATGTGGCAATTGCCATTGGTTGCTTTGCTTGGCTGGGTATTCCTTTACAGAAAATGCAGCTATGCATAAGTGTTCACCATTTTGCTGGGCTAGGCTGGGTATCTTTTAGAGATAGTATTTACGATGAATATGATGAATTAGCAAGCATGCGAGGTTGACCGATTTTTGACAATATGGGTGATATTTATTATTATTATTATGACGTTCTATGTCTTCCATGTTTTCTGGTTGGGGATGGATGGCCTGCTCTAATTGCAATAGGTTATCCACGTGTTGAACTTGAATTAAATCAAGAAATTCTAAATGTGAATTTGATTAAAGAACTAAATAATTAAATTTGATTTAAAATTTATAAGATTTATGTTTATTAATAACATGTTTAGTTTTATATAAATTGGAAATTTAACCCCAAAAAAATTGACTCGAGTAACAACTAATAATAACTAAAATTAAATAACCACTTGATACAAAAAAAAAAAAAAAAAAGAGAGAAACCAAATAACCAACAAGAAAGGATATACAATTAAAAAAATAAACTTACTAGAAATTTAAAATCACTTTTTCACGTTGGAAAGTACCACCGCACTTCCAACAAGCTGATGCAAACACCCCACCTAAAAGTTGCAATACCCACTTGGCTTGCTGAAGTTTATGTATGTCATTAGAGTTTGGCAGCATGCATCAATACATCACAAATTCTTAATTATATATAATCCAACAATTACCAACTCCCACACTACACTTAATTATGACTTAAACATCACAAAAACTCTATCCGGCTTGATGTTTACAGTGACATTGTTCTTCTTAGATTTGTAACCATCAAAAAATAGATTAAATTAGATAACATTTGTGCTTATAATATATAAGACGTATTAACTTCATTAAAACAAACTTTAAAGAAAATTATCAAAAAGCAAATATAATATTACCAACATATAGTTTTCTCAGAATACTAAATATAAACTTTTCCTTGCGGATAACTACTCCCCGGGTAGTGATAATTTTTTTTTTTTTTTAAAAATTTGAATCCTGAGTCAAAAGTTAAGAGTAATTTTCAACGTAATAATAAAAAATTAAGAGGTTAACTTATCCATGGGACCATGTTTCATCTCCTTGATATGCATATTTAAAGATTTTGCTTGATTTCGTCCAAAGAGCTCCTTTTTTTCAAACGTAGTGAGCCCAAAATACTAAAAGAAGCTGCATTGATAGTTAGACAAGATAAATTTAATAATTAAAATGAAAATGTTATAAAAAGTAACACCAGTTCATTTTTAAAATATATAGACTAAATTAAGATTAAAATTAAAATTAAAATACATATGTCAAATGTGGGGATGAGTGTCTGTTGGGTGTATATACATGTTTAAATCAAGGTTTAATTATATAACTAAAATACGTAATAATAAATTCTTAAAAGTACATAATTTTAGGGGTGATTTGTACTTTAAAATTACGAGTTTTTTACATTTTACACTTTAATAAGGTAATGCTAGAGTGCAAAGTGTAAAAAATCACAATCCTAAAGTGTATTGTACAAATGAATCTAATTTTAGGGACGAAATAGGGGAGGGTTGGTGACAAAATAGTCAGGCGAGGGAAGAATGAGCATTTTCCAAGGGCAAGTGAAGACAAGGTATGAATCAGCGAAGGATGAGGAAGGAACTTCGGGCGGAGATCAGCCATGAAGTTAGGGACGGATTTTTGACAAAAATTAGTGAGGATTTAGCGGGGACTTCTGAAGGAAATTAGTGACGAATTAACATGCAGCTGAAGGATTTGACGCGAAAAACCGATGGGTTAGCGAGAAAATAGCGTGAAAATTTTTTAATTGTTTCTCTTGCTATTTATCAACTAGTTAGCGACTATGTTGGGAGAGAACATTTTCTAGTAGTGGTGCTTCTAGCGACTTGGCCTAATCACCTTTCCCCATTTGTCCATCTATTTGCACAAATGTCAAGAATAATCCCAAAAATAGAGAAGTAAAATGAATAATCGGACAGAAAAAGATTTATCTGGTTCAAATGATAAAATAATTATTAACGAAATTCTGGTTATTACATGTTAGAGCTTGTTTGGGAGTTTGGATAAAGGTGGATAAAAATATTTATCTACTCTTATTTATATTTGGTAGACTGATAGAAGGGAGTCAGATAAAGTTCATATAGAAGAGATATTAGATAATAATCACGTTAAATTTAGATAAATTATACTGGAGTGAGGGGTAAGATAATTTTATTCAACCCCTACCTAACTTCTTTGAGCAATACTACTTTTACTACCACTATTAACCGCCACCTCCGCTACTTCTACCAAATAACATAATTGTTCAGATTATTGTATAGTCACGATATTTTATTCAAAACCTACCCTATCCTACCTTATCTTATCTAAACTACAGGACGACCCTTTAGATGTTTCTCAAGAAGATTAAATTTAAGATAATTTTTAAAATTTTAAATTATTTATAACTAAATAAATACTCAAAAATTAGATAAAAATAAAAGAATAGAAGTGTTTAGAGATAGTGTTGTAGTTTTTATTTTTATTTTGTTTTTGCTTGACTGAAGACTTGGATGTGTATCTTAAACTCCAGGAAGTTGCTTCTCACCAAGGACTGCAAGATTATTATTTTTGTTCCTTAAGCGTCTAATTTTTATTTTTCTTATCTTGCTCTCCCAGAGTTCCATATTATATTTATAATTTTTTTTCTTGAGAGTCAAATTTTAAGAGACAAATAACACTTCGAAAATGATTGATGAGAAAACTTTTGCCTTCGAACGAATTTTTGCTATGGGTCTACAATTTCTTTTAATTTCAAAGAGAGTAGAGAACAATTTCATTAACATGCATGGCTCCTTGTAGGGTTATCAATGGATTGGACTTGAATTAAATCAAACTAATATGAATATAAACCTAATTAATGATATTTATATCCGATTTTAATTCGAAATCTTATAAAATTTGTATTTGTTAAATCTTATTCGAATTTGATAAATAATTTAAAATTTGATAAGAAAAATAAAAAAATAATATTTTTTTATACTTTAATTCCTCATTTATATTTTATTGATCATACTCGTTTCTAAATGTTTCGATTTTTTTCAATTTAATTTTTACAATTGTGAATTTATTTATATTATATCTATAATATTATTAATTTAATACAAAATATTAGTAAAATTTGGATTCAAATATTTAACAGATTGGACTACTCAATTACATAACTGATATTTATTTTAAATTATAAATATTTATAATCAGATTTAATTTATTGAATATTTTAGTTAGATTTGAATTCTAAATTTTGAATTGAATTTATGTCAAATTTAAGTTAAAATTTAATTTATTGACAGCCATGGTCCCTATGCTATTTCCATTATCCAAGTTGTGCATTAACTGTCTGTTTCTTTGCTTCTTTAAGACAGATTTGAAACTGGTGCCTCATGCGCTCCAAGGTTCAAATGGGATTTAGAGAACTCGTGAAACATCAAGGTCACACGTATCCTCGTGAAAGAGCTCAAACTTTATACTCCTTCAATCTAATGTTATTCCTTTGCTCTCTCCATATTTAATGTCCAAAGCTGCATTGCTCTTCCATTCTTCCTATAAATTTAAGGGTGACCTTTTGACAACCATATCATTATCATTCTCTCTCTCTCTCTCTCTCTCTCTCTCTCTCAACTTTCATTTTTTTTTCCCTTTAATTTCTGTCACCTTTCTCCCACTTTCCCAATTTCTAATAACCCCACACAAACTCGGGTCTTTGTCAGGGCAACTACTTAGTCCAAAATTGCACTAAATTTCCTCACAAAGCTCTCCACTTCCATTGAATCCCACTTGCTAAAATGAAAAAGCAGAGATGGGTTTTCAAGCTCTCTCTTCTTGACTTCACTCCTCCTCCTCCATCTCCACTCAGAAAGTGCCCTTGCCTTGGCCTGCCATAAGATTGATAGGATATCTCTACTTGGCTTCAAAGCAAGGATCATCAAGGACACAACTGGTATTCTTTCTTCATGGACAGGAATTGATTGCTGTGGAGGAGGTTGGGAGGGAGTCCAATGCAACCCTTCCACAGGTCGGGTTACAGGTTTGGTCTTACAGAGGCCCTCTGAAAGGGACACTGCCCTTCATATGAAGGGTACTCTTTCCCCTTCTCTTTCTGGTTTGCAATTCTTGGAGGTGATGGTGATTGCTGGGATGAAGCACCTTTCAGGCCAAATTCCTGCAAGCTTCTCCAATCTATCGCGTCTAACCCAACTTGTCTTGGAAGACAATTCACTTCAAGGCCCCATTCCTTCGAGTTTAGGACGTTTGACCTTGCTCAGAACCCTCTCCCTCAGCAGAAACAAATTGAGTGGCCTGATTCCTCCAAGCCTAGCAACTTTGAAGAACCTTGTCCAGCTGAATTTAGCCAAAAACTCCCTCACAGGTCCCATACCATCCTCCTTCAATAATTTCCTTAGCTTGCAGCATTTTGACATCAGCTACAATTATTTGACGGGTTCGATTCCAGCCTTTATTGGGGAGTACCAAAATCTTACTTTTCTTGATATCTCCTACAACCAATTATCAGGCAAAATACCTTTTTCGATATGCAAGTTGGCCAATCTCTTGGACTTGTCCTTGGCCCATAACATGCTCACCGGAAGCATCCCGCACCCCATCGGTGACCTAAAATCTCTCACCACTCTCTCTCTTAGTTTCAACAAGCTTAGCGGTCAGATTCCAGAATCCATTTCAACATTACGCAATCTTTGGTACCTTAATTTATCAAGCAATGCCCTTTCAGATCCTCTACCCAAAAGCATAACCCTTCCAGGGAGCATTCCTTCTCTCTTGTCAATTGACCTCTCATACAACCGCTTCAACCTCGGGACAATTCCTCAATGGATCAAAAGCAGAGAACTCTCTGACGTTCACCTAGCCGGGTGCAATCTCAGAGGAACTCTCCCAAACTTCAAAAAGCCTGGATCCCTGAGCTCTATAGACTTCTCCTATAACCATTTCAGCGAGGGAATTTCAAATTTCTTTGCCGAGATGTTCAGCTTGCAGAAGGCCAAGCTCTCAAACAATCAACTGAAAGCCGACATTTCTGAAATTAAATTGCCTGAGGGGCTTTCATCCCTTGACCTCCACTCCAATCAACTCTCTGGATCACTATCTGGGATCTTAAACAACAAGACGAGCGGCTTTCTGGAGGCCATAGATTTGTCAAACAATCAAATATCAGGCAACATTCCTGACTTCAAGAAAGTTGTGAACCTCAAATTGTTGAACATAGGGAGTAACAAGATTGAGGGCCAGATTCCGAGTTCCATCTCGAACTTAGCAGAGTTGGAGACGTTAGACATCTCAAGGAACAGAATAACAGGAACAATTCCGACAAGTTTGGGAGCACTAGTGAAAATGAAATGGCTAGAATTGTCTATCAATGGGCTGAGGGTAGAATACCAGAGAGCTTGCTTGGGATGGAAAATTTGAGCCATGCAAACTTCAGGGCAAACAGATTATGTGGAGAGATCCCACAAAGAAGGCCCTTCAACATCTTTCCTGCAGTTGTATATGCTCATAATCTCTGCTTATGTGGCAAACCTCTCCCTCCATGTAAGGGCAAGAAGATGATGGGAAATTTGCCAAGAACTTCATCTGGAAATGAGTGAGATTGATTATGTCAGTCAAACTCCATAGGCCTAGAAGTCTTCTTCTTATATTCGTCTTTTTAAATTGGTCTTTTGTAATGCATTACGATGGGGTGTGTAGAGATTCTAATTCTGGGAGGAATTCTACCACTCAAACTAGTTCCAGGGGTTAGATTGATCGTGCTTTTGTTATTTCCTGCAGTTGCCAAACTCCATTTGGCCTAAAATTCTATTTTCTTATCTAGTTTATTTGTTCTTATTTTTCATCACTGAGACAAAACTCATCTTGTAAGCAAATTTAATCCGTGCAATGCCATGTTTCCACCCATGACTTTTCTTTCTCTTCAAAAAAAAAAAAGGAAAAAAAAAGAGAGAATAAGTTTATAAAAACCACTGAATTATGGTATCAGGTTCAACTTGATCACCAGACAACAAATTTGAATCAAAGTTGACCACAAATTCCACTTTGCCCAAACCTAAGGCCCCTCGGCCTTTTCTTTTACAGATGGTGTTGGAAATAGAGCTGTCTATGGTTCGGATTTGGATCAAATCAGATTTAAATTTAATTTTATATTTTCATATCTAAATCCGATTTGAGATTTTATGGGATTTATATTTAATAAAACATATCCGAGTTTAATGAATAACTTGAAATTCAACATGAAAATCTGAATTGACAAGAATATAATATTTTTTTTATGCTTAAATCTTTAAATTTTATGTTATCAATTATATTGTTCATTGACATTTTTATTTTCTCAATTTAGTTCCTTTAAATTTGAATTTTATTATTATTATATATATAAAAATATTAATTTAATAAAAAATATTATTAAGACTTGAATTCAAATTTTTAATAGATCAAATTATTTAATTCTTTATTTCAAATTACAAATATTTATAATCGAATCTAATCTATCAATATTTTAATCGAACTCTAACTTTAAAATTTAGATTAAATTCAAATTAAAATTCAATTTATTTACATATTTAATCAAAAAGAGATAGAAGGAAGATGTCACATATTTAATTAAAAAGATAGAAGGAAGAGATGTGATGGAAGAGGAGATCTAAACCCCATGCGAGAAACAGTCCCTCCCACGACGATTTCACTGCCATGCTCGTGTTGTCTTTGGTGGTGAAGGGGAGAGGCCATTGGTACACTAAAGATAAAGAAGCACCAAAAAAAAAAAAAAAAGTACTCTCATGTCAGCCAAATTAAATACGCGTTGATTTTCCTTAGACTTGGTTCAATTTTATCTAACTTAATTGTTTAGTTGCCAATTTGATCCAATTTATTTTATATACATCATATTTTATACTTTTTAAGTATTACCAAATATCATTTTCACAAGCCACTAGAATTTATTTCAATAATTTTTGGCACATATTCATATTTTCAAGACCGCAAGATATCCCTTTTATTGAAAGAATTTGAAAAAAATTTAAATAAGATATTAATATTAGTACAAGTACGATTAGTCTTAATTGAGTTAGGTTGAATTAATTATCTATATAGTGAGCTCTCCTGCGATTCTCATTTCAGGGAGTAATTTCCTCTACACATGACAAAGATGGACAAGTGTTGTGCTAGTAAAGTCATGAGACAAAAACCAAACATTTGTAGGAATTATTAAGAGTTGTTATTTTATAACATTAAAAACACATATTTTTAAAACTAAAATATACATTTAAAACATAATATTTTAGGGATAATTGAGACACTATTTTTTGACATGTATTAAATATGTTTTTAAAGCATATTTTTGAAATTATATTTTTATACATTATTTTTGAAATAAGAGTTTATGTGAAAAAATTAATATGTTGAAGATTGATATAAATAAGAGAATAAATTAAAAATTCAATATAGGGATTAAATGACAAAATTAATAAATGAATAATTAAGTTATATATAAATATATATATAAGTGCATTTGTACGAGAGAATAAGAGAGAGAAAAGAATACGGTGTCATTCTTTTATAGTCCCAAAGATATATACTACTATTTTTGAGACTAAAATTTAAAAAATATTGTTCTTTTGAACTATATTTTAGGAACATATGTTTCAAAAGATGAAATATATGCTCATAAAATTAAGTATAATTTTAGAGTTGTGCATAGTCTCAAAAGTATTTGTTTCATTTCTATTAAAAAAATGTATTCTTTTCTTTCACTTATTCTCTTGCACAATCACAACTCTTTATATATATATATATATTAATTATTAGTCATTTAATCCCTATATTGATTTTTTAAATTTATTTTTTATTTATATCAAGTTTCAAATATACTAATTTTTTCATATAAATACTTCTCTTAAAAACAATGTATAAAAAAATATAATTTCAAAAATATATCTTAAAAATACATACAACACGTACCAAAAGAATATCGTATCAATTACCTTAAAAACATCATGGCTTAAAGGTTTACCCCAATTTTAAAAACATGTGCTTCTAAGGTAATAAAAAGACAGCCCCTATATTTTTTAAGAGAAAGGATCAATTGACACATAGTATAAGTATAAGTTACTTACACCACATCTCATACCGTTCATTTGGTCAAAATCAACAGATAATATTAATTGACATTAATTTTCAACAATTTCCAACGGATAAAATTAATATCATTCGTTGATTTTAACCAAATTAACGGTTTGAGATGTAGTGTAAATACTTTATACTTACACTAGGTATCAATTGATCATTACACATTTTTAAAATATAAGTGATGCAAGTATTTTAGAAATTGAGTACAACATTCTTGCTTAGTCTCAAGAATACATGCTTCACTTTTTTTTTGAGCATACATTCCTAAATCATAATTTAAAATAATAATACTTTTGAAGTTTTGATAATAAAAATAAAGATACGTGCTTTTGAAACTATAAAATAACTATCTTAAGTTTGATATTTTATAGAAAAGCCTCTCATTCGTACGCAAAACTTGAATCCATAGACAACTAGTTTCGTAACTCCAACTGCTCAAAAAGCAGAGATAAAGAAAAGAGAACAAATGAGACGTGAAATTTCTTTCTTTGGATGTTCAAGGCGCTAACCAAAAGAAAAGAACTAGAGAAAAGGTGTAACCTCCTAGTAACCTCCCTTCAAGTCATTGACGACATCATAGGGAATAGGTGTAACAGTTTCAATGGTTGCACCTTCCACCATGAAACCAGGTTTAGGTCCCTCTGGCTGCCTCTTTGTGCTGATGACCTCGCCTCTTGCCTTGCCTCTGCCTTTAGTTGATCATTTGTCTTCTTCCTCAGTTTGAAATCTTCTTCCTTACATCTGGAAGGCTGGATATGTTCTATACGCACATGGATCCTCTTCTTGATTATCCTGTTACCAACCTGTATTTGTTTACAAGCATCAACACTCATGTCAAATTGTCCATATCTGGCACGAAAGCACTTAAATTCATTGATGAGAAAATATCATTGAAAAAACAATGCCTCAAACAAATAATTGCCAGTTACAGCAATGGTCTCAGAATGTCTTCTTCACAAAAAGCAAGCACACTGAAGGAAGGAAGACAATAAAAAAGAACAGATGGAAAAAGCTAGGTTGAAAAATCTAAATCATAATAACCTACCTTGGTAACTGAAACAACATGTACTCAAGAATATGATAAACACTACACACGTTAGGTTCAACGCAAGATAGATTTTATCAAATTTTTTGATATCGATCATCCATATCGATTCCAGCCGAGAGGACAAGTAAAAGGAAGGATCAAGAATGTCATATATTTCAGGAGCTAGATCAGTTGACAACAAACAAGTAAGAATTGCCATACATCAATTTCCCAACTATAATTCTTAATGACCGAAAAAAGCACTCCAAAAAGGTATCAAAGACATAGACAAACATAAACACGTCAATTAGGAAAACAAGCACCAGCTGACTTTGCTGCCACATTGAGCAATTTTAGAAAGTTTTACCAGAGGCAGCGACAGATACCAAGTACACTCTAAGATGGCTTAAAACAGGCCTCTGAGCAGAACCATACCAACCTAACTAAATTGCAATCCAACTATGAGATGATCCAATCCAATAATATAACATCAAATTTTCACGAAATGACAGTAATTAATCGATTTTTAACAGAAGCAAATCATTTTATAATCTGTAGATTATTCTAATAACCTTGTAGACATATACGATTCATATAAAATCAGATATATACATAGATTAAGATTGGCTTGAGGGAAGAGAAGCAGCGACCTGCTTGTTCACTTCAACTCCGATGGCACGTTTGGTAACATTCCAGACCTGGCCAGTACGTCCATGGTAGAATTTATGGGGCATGCCCCTGTGAACTGCTCCATTAACCTTGATATCGACATAATCTCCGATGCGGTAAGTTCTCAGGTAACTCGTCAGTGGGATCGTTCCCTTTTTTCGGAACGGACGGGAGAACAGATCTCTTGTCCTCGACCTCAATCCGTGTTCCGCCGGCATCTTCTCTGTTTCTCTCTTATCTCCCTCTCTTTCTCAGCCCCAAATGATCAAAAACCTTTAGACGGCGGGACTCGATTTAGGCCGGAGATCGGATTGCCACAAACTACAACGGGCAGGCAGCTCCAGTTGAGCGGGCTGGGCCTAGAAATGGAACCGTTGTTGTTGTCAACGTTGGCAATCGGACCAATTCAAGTCTGGGCGGGTCTGCGTTGCGGTTCATTTTAACTGTTTATTTTTGAACTTAAATGTTTACATTAAGAGGATTATTAAAACTTACAGTATTAGGGATTTTAATTTCTTAATTAGATTACTTTATAATAAATACCATTTGTAAATTAGTTTTCTCCAGATAAATGTTTTTTTTAATACTATGAAAGTGATATTCAGCTGCGCACTAAAACTTAATGACTTAAAGAGAATTAAGTTCAAATTTACAAAAGTATGTATTTGAAGTCAATTACAATATATCGAATGAGATTAATTTTAAATCATAAAATAAATGAGATTACTTAAAAGAATAAAAAAAATAAGAATTTAAGTAAATAATTTGTTAGAATTTTTGTTTTAAGTAGCACGCTAAAAATGAGTAAAAAATATGAATGTCGATTAAAAATAAAATAAATATATCAGAAATAACATTTTTTCCCTTAAATTTTGTCATTTTATATAGAATCACATGTGTTTAAATGGAAAAAAAATTAAATTGTTGACAAATGTGAGTTTGGATCTATAAAATATTAAAATTATTTTAATATTGATATATAATGTTACAAACCCATTAAGTTCGTAATAAATATTTATTATTGTTCATAAAATTTGTTAAGTAATGGTCTAATATTTATGCCAGAAGGTTTGTGAATACATGGTAGTAAAAATTTTTTATATAATTTTTTAAAAAAAATTAGATGTTTATACCATGTTATAAGTTAATAAAAAACATGAAAAAGACAATGAAATCATTTTTCAAAACTATAATAACTAATCTTATGCTATATATATGGTTTGCATAGTTTTTTTATCCAAGTGGGCTTACTCCTAACTAATAAGTACTTGTTGAGATATTAAGTAGTTTTTAGTTTGGTAAGGGTAAAATATAAATTTCACTTTTCAAAAATTTACTTGTTAAAGAGAATTTTTTATTTTTCACGCTCTTAACTGAAAAAAAATTAATCTCAAGTAAAAAATTGACTTGAATATACTCTTGTTAAAAAAAAAAGTGGGCCTACTCCTAGCCTTTTTTCTAGAGATCAAGTTGCTTCTATTATAAAATATTTTCTCATGGTCTAAGTTCTTTAAAACCATCAAGTTCAAATTTTATATTTAAATTTTTCTCATAAAAATAAAAAGCTTTTGTGATGATAGAGTCGTTACAGATTTTTTTCTTCTCTCCTCATCCAAATTTTGACTCAAAAATTGTTGAAACCCTTTCAAATTTTATAGCACTAGCCACTTGAGAAAGCAACAAAAAAGTGACACATTATTTTCTTTGACAAAATATTCTTTCGGCAAGTCAACTTATTGGTCAGCAAATTCTTTAGATTTTATTTTTTTTGGGGAAGAAGAGAATGGCTTAAATTGCAACGGGTACATGATCGTTCGATTCCTGCAATATGGGCCAAGGGCCGACCAGAAGTTGGGCCATGACTTGGAGATTCAAGCCCATCAAATTGTAATTTATCCGACTGTGGCTGAAAATGTAAATGGCAGCCTTGTGCATGTAAAAATTTTGGTGCGAATAGTACTCAGGTGTGTTTAATCAAGGTCTTGCAAAGGTTTTGGTTTTAGCCTTTCGGTAGTGTTTGGTTGAAGAGTTTTTGAAACCCTCCTGGACGTTTCAACTAAGTTTCTCGTAAAATTCTGTGGATAGGTTAGATTTTAATTTAAATATTATTTTAATTCGATTTAAATTTTAATAATTAAATTTAGTTAAAATATAATATAAATTAAATTTAAATAAAACATTTATAATTCAAATAAATAGATTATATATAAAATTAAATAATTTAATTAATTAAATATTTGATTTCAAATTTTAATAATATTTTTTGTTAGACTAATAATCTTATATATATAAATATTTTTATATTATTAATAAATTCAAGTCTGTAGGCACTCTTTTCTTGTTAGTTTAAACTTTATTGTCAGATTTTTAATTATCCGTTAGATTCAGATATAAATTAACACAAATTTTGTAGGATATCATATCAGATTTGGATATACAAATAGGTAATTAGATTCAGATTCAGATTACTCTAATTTGATCCAAATTTGACTTGTTGAAGAGAATGTTTCAAGTTACTTATAAAAGCTACACTTTTTTTTTTTTATTTTATATATATTTTTGCTAACTAGGTGTGTGTGCTTTATTTTATATTATTTTCTTTTTGTAAATATGGTAATTTTTTTGAAAAGATTTTAAATCTCATACATTTTCAAATTCAAAAAACTTACAAAAATAAATATCCTCTATTGTTGCTTATGTAAAGTGAGATAGTTGTCCTAAATCTAAAGGTTTTTTCCTTGATCCTTTTTTCATGTCAAGATAAGTTTTATTTAGCTCAATGAAATAATTATTAAGACATTTTCAGTTATCATTTTTACCCACTGATAATATTAGTTTTAGGGTGGGGAAAATATTATTATAATATAGGGAGTATGAAATAGTTTGAAAGAAGTGAAAATGGGATAAACATTATTAAAAAAGGCCTTTCAAAATCCACTGAGAATCGTTATAGCGCAACTTAAAATATGTTGGATGTCATTACAGGCATCTTGACAAGTTGAACTAAAAAGAGTTATCCTGCCTGCTGTTTTCAAAAGAGGCATCTTGCTTGGTTGACCTAAAAAGGGGGATCTTGCCTGCTGTTTTCAAAGGAGGCATCTTGATTGGTTGAACTAAAAAGAGGGTTTTGATTGCACAAATATGACAATGCATATCATCTTTGCTATATCAGTTCTACAAAGGGTGTTAAAATACCCATGTTGGTTACAAGGGGTTAATAATTAATGTATATATGTGAAAGAAATTCTTACTAAATATATCAACTTTTTGAAGTTGCGATGTTTAAAATTACTTAATTTTTTCTTCTCGAATTTAACGTATAAAAAAAGTGATCGTTAGGTATTTTATGCTAGTATTTTAAAAAAGTTTATAATAAATAGGCAGCCCATCACAGCTGTGAAGTTCTAATTGTCATCAACTTTATGTCTGACAGGAATTCTTTCGAGTTCAACACGTAAGTGGAAACGAGAAAAAACATTTTCAATTTATGTACATTGAACTGGTTCACATTTATAATTCGGCTGAGCTGGAGGACGACACAACACTTAGATACTTGAGCCCAGTTGGACGTGCTGGCTCAAGTGCTGCTTTCTTTTTTAATTTATCAGATGGCGAATGATTAAAAACTATCTTTTATTCACGTAGTTTTGCAAAGGGTTGTTCTATATTTAAATGAAACAAGATGTAAGCATATGTATACTTAGCTCAAGTCTAGTGCAATGGTGCTCAATGTGGTTAGCTTCCCATCATAGTTTTGAGGATTTACAGATTTCATATTGATGGGAATAATTTAAAGAGAAAGATGTCCCAAGTTGACCATTAAAATAATCCCAAAACTTTTGTCAAGTTGCTTCGTGTGCATTGAACCAGTCCTTATCTATACCTGGTCTACCTGGACAGGGGCACGTAGTGTGGGACACCTGTGCCTGCTGGCGCCATGCTACATCCATCTTAACTTCCGCGGTTACACATTACCCATAAATTTATTTATATTATTTTAATTACAAGTCCCTCACAATTCAAGTATTCTCGCTCTTGAAAGTTGTGTCCTTTTCCTTGTCTTCTTTCCCCAAATAATTAGACTCTTTCCTAATCTTGTATGCTGTTAATTAATATATCCATATTTACAGAAAACATAAATGATTTGAAAATAAATTTGGATTTTTGTATCTCACATACTAAATAAAAGTGCATAATTCACAAATAATCAATTCTTTTGATGAATAATCAACTTGTTATAATCAAACATGTGTTTTCGTTAAATTCAAAACATTTAGAAAAGAGCATATATTTTATTGAATTTAATTTATGTTGTTCATCATGTATAAACATGATCAGCTCAATAATTTCTAGAATGTAAGTAACGGCAAAAACAAATCATAAGATAATAAATAAATGATCCAAAATCAACTAATCAAATATTAAGAAAAAACTAAATTATATTAACTAATATAAGCAAAATATGTTTTATAATCGGTTTCAGAAAAACTCTCAGTCTAACTCTAACAAAAATTTAATAACAAACTTGAATCTACTCATGCGCTAGCTAATTTTGGACTGCTAGATTTTTCAACTCTTCATTCTAGTATAACTGAAAACAAATTAAATAATAATTGAGCAATGCTACAATGCCCTTTACAATAACACTGTAGTGATTTTTCCTTTTTTAAAAATCCTCTTACACTCAATTTCGAAATAGACATTTACTGATCTTAAATCTTTCAAAAATCTTCTCGAATAAAAACATAATTTATTTAATATTAGAGTTTAATCAACTAACTCACAAATAATTCACAAATAAATTCAAAACATGTGTTATAATCACAAATAATCAATTCTTTTGATGAATAATCAACTTGTTATAATCAAACATGTGTTTTCGTTAAATTCAAAACATTTAGAAAAGAGCATATATTTTATTGAATTTAATTTATGTTGTTCATCATGTATAAACATGATCAGCTCAATAATTTCTAGAATGTAAGTAACGGCAAAAACAAATCATAAGATAATAAATAAATGATCAAAAATCAACTAATCAAATATTAAGGAAAAACTAAATTATATTAACTAATATAAGCAAAATATGTTTTACAATCGGTTTCAGAAAA